CTCAACCCTAAACCCTAAAGACCTTCACCCTAAACCCTAGGCCCTAAATTTGGGAAGGACTCGCCCGTCACTTCCAGAAACCATCCGTGTTTGGGCAGGTGTTTCCGCGTGTTGCTGGGCCAGATTCAGGACTTGGATGTGGATGCAGCGCCTGGAGAAGGCCTCCCTGCCCAGAGGGTTTAGGCTCTAGGGTTTAGGGCCCTAATAATCCCTTTGTTTCCCCAATGTAGCAATGGGTTCATTTTGGGGGTTCCATTTTATGGATCCTTTAGGGGGTCTGGGTAAGTGCTTCTGCCATAACCCTTAGGGCTCCTACCTTTGCCCTTGAATCTAAGGCAATTACAGGAGGGGAGCTTCTATGTAGGGACCTCCCATCAGCCTTACATACTCCTTATATATGCCCCCATGGCCCCCATACCCTTTAAAAAACTCTCCCCACTGGAAACTCCCCTCCAGTTATTGTGCCTGATTGAAGTTGCAGTACAAAATGCCCATGCTTCGGACATGTTGCTAGTTTGACGACCATGTTGTCTAGCATCGAAGGCGTGGACGCACCGCATCTTCAAAAACAAGAGACCAACCATCAAAGCCCAAATACCTGGCGCAACTGATGCATCTGTCAAATAGCTCTATGTACGGTACACCCAAGCACAGGCTCATAGATCTCAGGCGCAGCTCCTGTTGAGCAAGCCCCTTACCAAAACCTCAATTTAAATCTATGGCGCAGAATCTCGAAGCCAAACAAAATTTTTTCTTCCTCGACTGAGAACCTTCAACTGTGAACCTTCCGGAGTTTGTCAAAAGTGCAACCGTGGAATATTTCATGACCTTGGTGATTCCTTTGTACTCTCTACATGCCTCTATAATGGCCTTCTGTTGCGAGAAATTCTTAAGTTCTTTAATCCCCATATACCCCCATGGAACCACTTCAAGGGTACGCCTATTTTGAGAAGCTCCCAACATGTGATTATAGGAGGGATGCTGGAGTTGGACCTGCAATGCCTAGACGCAACGCAGGCCCGGCTGGCAGGGACAGGTTTCAGAGTAAAGACGCCTTATGCTCCATAACCCCCTTTTGAAAGAGGCTATACGGGTTCTATGGCTTTTGTTAGCATCTACAGGGTTTAGGGTTGAGGGTCTTCATTTGTCAAACTTCAGGGTGGGGCCAGCAGTAATCCAGAATGACGTCAAGTGTTTACTCACTCCTCTCTATCCTGCTTGCATGGAAGAAGTCCTGACTGGTGGAGGCTGGGTGGCGCTGGTAGGGGCGGCAGCGGTGGCAATGTCTGTGGTGGCGGTTCGGTTGTGGCGCTGGTGAGAAGCAGTCGGATGGAGGTATTAACAGGTAGTGGTAGTAGGTCGCTGTAGCAGCAGTGACATAGCCGTGGCAGTAGACCTGACTGTGTTGCAGCTACTTTCGGATTGATTCCCCGTTCTTAGCTAAACCAATATATCATATCAGTGTGGTTGCTTTGGTACTATGGATAGACACGATTCCTTTGATGGTTCGATGTCTGCAAGGCGCTTGCAAGGCAATCATGCCATGGATGACTTCATTCTTGTCGCCCAGCTTGTCAAAGATGCGGCTCTTGTCTTTAAAAAAGATAGGCATGTATTAGGTACCGTCTTATCTAGGAATCTAGGAGCAATCTCAACAGGGGTACTACAGAGGGCTTTATCTAATTTTGCTTTTGTTCCCAAGTGGGGGCAGTACCCCAAGCATGCAACGCAAGACTTGCTACGCACATTACAAGCTTGTTGTCATAATGCAAGGCTAGAGCTTGATGACAGTCTGGTACCTTTGGGTTCAAAGTTCTTCAGCAGATGTCTGTGACAATGGAGCGTATGAGCTTGTCCGAGGCTGAGCCAGTTGGGCCTCCTGATAGCTGCTTTGTGTGCGACAGAGAAGCCTTGGCCATCTATACCTGCCGCGACTGCGACCGTCGGGGTTGTCGGTTTTTTGTCTGCCTAGCATGTAGTGGGGACATGCGCTGCCCTTTCTGTGGCAATGACGCTGGGGACATGGCTGCCATCAGCGACTACGAGAGCAGTGCGCCTACGGGAGATGACGGTCGCAGCTACCGAGATGAGGATGATGACGCGGCATCTTGGTTGTCAGAGCCCGAGCCCGAGCCCGAGCCAGATTCGCACGATGACTACGACACAGAAGCCAAGTGCTACATGCCGGACACGGAGTGAAGATCTGGAACAAACCTCACATTGAAAATATATATCCGTCCTGTAGGATGATGGGNNCCCATCATCCTACAGGACGGATATAAGTTAGATGTGACGTTTGTTCCAGATCTTCCCGTCTCTGCCTTCTGGGTGGGACAGGATCGCTTGCTGACGTTCGGAAAGAAACATCCGGGAAACCAGCGCGTCCAGCGACCGCCTCTGAAAATGCGTGTCATCCAGTCCTCGGACAACTGGCCCTCAGAGTTGAATGACGCACATTTTGGAAGCACGAGGGGAAGGTGGGTGCACGGCTCCAGCTGACCGATCGGTTCGGCAGCGATTTGAGACTCCATGTCGTGAACGACGTGGCCCAGACAGAAAGCATCCCAACTCAAGGGCATTTTCCTTTGATTCTCAGATGGTAGGCGTGAGATTTTATGGCTGACGTGCTCAGGGAGAATCTGCTGATGCACTTGTTTGGCTCCACTGCATGGCTCCTGTTTTGTCGAGAGAGGCATTGTGCACACTACGGTGTCTGCTGGTCGCTCTCAAGTCAAGCCCTGATCTGTATGTATAGATGGGAGATACATGATATAGGCTTCGGTCTTTGCCGGTATCTCTCAATTCCAGCCCTTCTGTATAGGACGCAGAGGCATTGTGCACGCTACAGTGTCTGCTGGTCTCTGTGAGTTCAAGCCCTCGCCTGATGCCTGGTATGTTCCGCCAGCAAAAGTGTGTCAAAGGTGTTGCGCAGAAGGCTGCCAGATGTGCACGGCTAGATGCTCTCCGTGTTGCAATGTAGCATGGCGCCATTAGCACAGGAGGGCTTGTGCGCGTAGGGGCTATGGCCAGGATGCAAGTGCCTTTTACCGATGAATCCTTCAGCTTGTGCATGGTATCGAATAGGAACCGCTTCAAATTTGTTGTAGTCCCTATGCATTCCTTTGGTTCCTATGCCACGTTTAATTTAGAGAAGCCCGGCAGCCCCGGAGCGAATCCGTAAAGCCTACTCATAGATCCACACATACGCCTATAGAACCCCTTTATGGCACTCCCGTTTTTTGTCTTTGTTGTTGAATGTTTTTGAGAAACCGTCGAAATGGCTCTGTCATGGCCCAGCCGGGAGGACCTTCTGGAGGGCTTGCTGGAGCCTTTGCAGTCTCCAGAACAAGGCGCCGACTCCTACTTGCATCGCTTAGGACCCCCCGTAACAGCGTACTCCTAGGCCATAGCGGCCTTAGGGTACTTAAGGTGCAACGCTTCCTCCATCCATGCTACGTCATTGGGTTTCTGACTGCCCCCAGTTGGATACCAGAGAGGAGACTTCATCATCATACCCCCTACATAGTCCTGAACAGGGGCCTTGGAATCTTCTTCTGGGATGGGTTCCCGATCTAGCCTCCCATACTGCTTCTCCGAGATTCCTTCTGAACGAAGCTTGTGTAGGGTTGTTAATAAGGGGGAACTCAAGGGGTGGTAGTATGGGGGTAGCTCGGGAACCCGGGACTATCAAGCTGCGGGATGCGGGCCAAAACCTAAGCTTCTAGAAAGATACCATCCGTTTCGCGTGACAGGGTCAAGTCTGAGAGCCCTTGCAAGAGGCTGGAAGGGTATATGGCGTAAGACTCCGCAGCAGGCGTGTACCCTCGCTCAAGCTAACGTGTAACCCCAGAAGCGGCTCAAGACAGACTGCTATCCTTTTCAAATGGAGCTATGCGCGCTTCCATGTTAGTTTGGGCGAGGGTAGACGTGAGCAGCCTGTGAACCCTTACTCCTAGACCCTCCATGCTTACAATGACCTGGAGCACTTGAGATCCCTAAGTGTGCCTTTAGGCTGAGGTTACTTTGGGCGTCCTACTGGCATCATGCAAAGGACAGCATTTTTGGACTTCTATAGTGTGCCCCCACTCCGTAATATTTCAAACACCCCTTACTACTGTCTTGATGAATGTCAAGTTCCGAGGCATATTCATGATCCACAAGCTGTTTTAGGGTACCTGATTTAAGGTCAAGCTTCCGGGTCCAAATTAGTAATTTCGAAGCTTTGAAGTTACTTGATTTCAATCTAGAAGAGGATAACTAATACCAAGTACTTCGTCTAAGTAGGCCGAACACATTCTGCGGGACCTAGACCTGCTCCGCTGAGAATAGGGACCCTGTTCAGTGCGATTGCTTGGGTACTTCCTTCAACGTCAACAGGTTTTGGTAGCCTCGGCATTGCTTGTAGAAGCATTTTGCTTTAAATCTTTAAAGGCTTGGATCTCTCCATGCCCAAGAGAAGCTGAACAAGCGAACATCGCCGAATCTCTTCAGCTCATGCTCGCTCCGCAGCAGAATCCCAAGCTCTCTACGAATACTGATGCTGATGCTACGAACGTCATCAACAGTAACAATACTAGTACCAACTAGGAAAATGTCAAAGAAACACACTGTTATCAATAGTACCAAAAATATTTTTCATGTTAATAATGACAATGTTGCTAAGAATAAGAATGATGCTTTGACATGACGATTTCATGTTATTAGTAGTTGTACTAGTATTTGCAGTCGTACTGCTAGTGACCCGCCCCGTCCCCCACAAATTGTTTTGGGGTATCGCTGAAAGATGTTAAATTTATCATGTTTTGGGAGGGCCATGCCCAACAGCAGGGCCCACACTATGAGGGAACATGTGAGGCATAGTCTAAACTCCTTAAAGGGTTATATGGGGGACTCTTATGGAGGTTATTAAGGGGGATACTGGGCGGTTTAGACTATAGCTCATGTAGCAGTATGCTGTGAATCTTTCATGGTCCAGGACTCACTATCCTGCTGAATTAGTTCTCATCAGCCACTGAGGAAGATGAAGCCATCATGTTACATAGGATCCTTTAGGTAGGCCCCCAACCTGGGTTTCGGGTTTAGGGTTTAGGGTTTGGGTTTAGGGTTTAGTATAATAGGACTATAAGAGGACCCTGACATAATCACCAGTATGCCTCATAGTCACCCTTGCTGGGTGGGGGGTCCACCCAATGATTAAGGAACCCGTTGAAGTGGGAAGAGATCACTAGGGATTCAATCTCTTGACGGCTCTTGGTACCCTGATAGCAGGTGAGGAGCCCTTCTGGCCGCTCGGCTGGCAGTACTTGGGGTGCAGGGTTCAGGGTTGAGTGAGGGTTTAGGGCGGGAAGTTTCGGATTGCGGTCTGAGTTTAGGGTTTGGGCTGTAGGGTTAAGAGTTGAAAGTTTAGGGCGTACATTAGAGAGTGTAGGGTTCGGCGCTGAGTCTACAGGGTTGAGGGTAAGGGGGTTCAGGGCTTAGGATCGCTATTCAAATTAGTTCTTTTGACCTTATTGCATGTATCAGCCCTTTCTTCTCATAGTCCTCATTCTTGCTGCTGCAAGCATACACAATGTTCACTACTGTTATTGGATTTGTATCTGTTTCGTCTCGCCAGAGACCATTAGCCACGGAACCCCAAACCATGGTGTCTTCTTTTCGTTTTCCTGAACATAAACCCTAAACCCCAAATTCTGAACCCATGGCTGAACTCTGTTCGTCCTGCATTCTTGGGGGACAGTGTTTGGGGAGTTGTGGGGCAGGTTTTGGGTTGAAGGGCTGGATTGTAGGCTTTGCGTCATGATGGGCAGGGCTTATTTGAGTTGCGTACTGAAGAAGCCTAAGTCGTTTCCAATATCATGATCTTACATTCCTCGTAGGATCGTGGTATTGAGTACCTCAAAAGGACCTCTCGTGGTATTCATATGTTTTCTGGCCCCCATATGTTTCCCAAAGGGCAAGAGCTGGACACATATTGTACAATATCGTAGTTTCCGCTTCCCTCTCCAGCACCGTAGAAG